TATTTTCTGTGTCCAAAACACTACAGCCTCTTCTTGTTAGGAAGAATAAGAAAGAAAGAAAGTGAAAACATTAATAATGAAATATTTAAATAAAAGCATCAATAACATTAGTCATGTGAAAAGGCAAATAGATTGGGTTTTGTCTCTATCTAGTGGGTATTTTTACTTACTGGAAGATTTTCATACAGAGACGAGTCCAGTTCGGGTTTACAATCATCAAGTTGAGCAGCCTTTATGAATGAAGACAAAGTAAAAACAGGAGTGTGTTATTGAATTTCCCATTTACTTAGTCAATAAAGATATTTCCTCACTGACATTGAGCGTTTAATTTATTTTGGCTAAAGGTGAAGAGAGTCTAGTCTTTTGTAGGAAACACTTACCGTTACATTCTCATACACAAGATCACTCGATTCAACATCATGAGCTTGGAGTCTGTCATGATGAGGTCTGGAATGATTCATCTTTGCCATGAAAGAAAAATCAGAATAGAGACAAAATAAATAATGTCTATAAAGAACTTACTAGGTAAAGTCACTGCTACATTCAGACTTTTAAATCTTTTAGATACCAATTAATTTAGATTTATATCAACTTCTGATTATTCTTCTCACCTGTGTGTCATTTCTCTTTTTCATCCACCTGCTGCCCCTTTAAAGATAATGATTTGAAACAATTACAACCAATCAGAATTTATTTGATGTTTAATACACAGTTATGAGTAAAGATATTTCTCTATAGGATGGGCAGTTTTGAATGTGATGAAATCTGATGTATCTTTAGGATTTGCTGCAGTAATGATGTGAGCTTCAGACTTCCTTATTCAATAATTTGGAAAGTTTGCCTTGGCTCACCTTAGATATGTTTATAATAATTTATATTCCCATAATTGATAGTTGTTTAAAGGTACAATATGTAAGAATTTTGTATCAAAATATCCAAAAACCACGTGCACAGTGTTATATACACTCACCTAAAGGATTATAGGAACACCATACTAATACTGTGTTTGACCCACTTTCGCCTTCAGAACTGCCTTAATTCTACGTGGCATTGATTCAACAAGGTGCTGAAAGCATTCTTTAGAAATGTTGGCCCATATTGATAGGATAGCATCTTGCAGTTGATGGAGATTTGTGGGATGCACATCCAGGGCACGAAGCTCCCGTTCCACCACATCCCAAAGATGCTCTATTGGGTTGAGATCTGGTGACTGTGGGGGCCATTTTAGTACAGTGAACTCATTGTCATGTTCAAGAAACCAATTTGAAATGATTCGAGCTTTGTGACATGGTGCATTATCCTGCTGGAAGTAGCCATCAGAGGATGGGTACATGGTGGCCATAAAGGGATGGACATGGTCAGAGACAATGCTCAGGTAGGCCGTGGCATTTAAACGATGCCCAATTGGCACTAAGGGGCCTAAAGTGTGCCAAGAAAACATCCTCCACACCATTACACCACCACCACCAGCCTGCACAGTGGTAACAAGGCAGGATGAATCCATGTTCTCATTCTGTTTACGCCAAATTCTGACTCTACCATCTGAATGTCTCAACAGAAATCGAGACTCATCAGACCAGGCAACATTTTTCCAGTCTTCAACTGTCCAATTTTGGTGAGCTCTTGCAAATTGTAGCCTCTTTTTCCTATTTGTAGTGGAGATGAGTGGTACCCGGTGGGGTCTTCTGCTGTTGTAGCCCATCCGCCTCAAGGTTGTGCGTGTTGTGGCTTCACAAATGCTTTGCTGCATACCTCGGTTGTAACGAGTGGTTATTTCAGTCAAAGTTGCTCTTCTATCAGCTTGAATCAGTCGGCCCATTCTCCTCTGACCTCTAGCATCAACAAGGCATTTTCGCCCACAGGACTGCCGCATACTGGATGTTTTTCCCTTTTCACACCATTCTTTGTAAACCCTAGAAATGGTTGTGCGTGAAAATCACAGTAACTGAGCAGATTGTGAAATACTCAGACTGGCCCGTCTGGCACCAACAACCATGCCACGCTCAAAATTGCTTAAATCACCTTTCTTTCCCATTCTGACATTCAGTTTGGAGTTCAGGAGATTGTCTTGACCAGGACCACACCCCTACATGCATTGAAGCAACTGCCATGTGATTGGTTGATTAGATAATTGCATTCATGAGAAATTGAACAGGTGTTCCTAATAATCCTTTAGGTGAGTGTATATTTATTTATATTGTGTACTTCCATTATTCTAAAGGTTTCCAAGAATTTGTAAATTCAGAGAAATTCACAATTTTACAAAAGTACCCATCCCTGTTCATTTGTCGCCTATCAATGACGTAATGTCCGCGTTATCCCAGGTTTCCGCTTATAACCATGGCGACAGACGTGGACAACTGCGTAATGTTTAGTGGCATGCTCACGCGGTTGTTGTTTCGTTCAAACATTATGGATCATAGCAAGCAGACTTTGGGACAAAAGGAGAACTAAAACGAGGACCAGTATCAGCGTGGTGTTTTTGCGATGCTGAGAGCTCCACGTCCGTGACAAACATCGACTTCACAGAGACGCCGCTCTTGCATGTACTTTATTAGACAGGTGAGCAAATGTACATAAAACTAGTCAATGTTATATAGCTCAACATGATGAAATGTTAGAATATGATCTGCATGTTATTCTAATGTTGATCTAGCTCAATGCTAGTCTCATACAGCCAAAAAAACAACAAAAAAAACTAACACATAGAATACCATTATAATTTTCAACACACTCAAATGCTGTTTAGTGTGATAGTGTAACGTTAGACCAAGTGAAACAGCACTGCGTTACCTCACAAGCTTCATTCGTCAAATAAACTGACCTGTGTGAGTATTAATTCAGCATTTGCGGGTAGTTCGGTTGAATTAAATGTCCTTATTCCTTTATATCCTTTAAGTTTTTAAGAAAAAGTGCAGCAGATGCACGTGTAAACAGTATACACATGATTCTTTTGGGCCACGTTTTGGTTTGTAACTTCGTGAAACATTAGTAAACCATAATAGATCTACGCATCTTTATTTAGAGCAGTTGATCTCTTAAAAACTCAAGCACAACATAAGACAATGTGTAGATCACAGAGTGACATGATTGATATGGTTTAAGCTATAGGACTTCTGGGATCCGATCGAGTCTCGATCATGACGCAGTGTTTTTTAACGCATTTGAAAGTTCAGCTAATGGAAACTGGATCTTGGGTGTAGTGGGTCGGTATAGTGGGCAGAGATGATGTGTTGAGACTAGGGATGTGAGGATGAGGACATTTTCCCACCAGTTAATTGACGTGTTACAACACCGGTAATACTGGCGTTACGAGGGTGGGGGACGCTGGAGTTTTTCCCTCTTGTGCACCTCGCTCTTAAATAGTTAATTATTATCCTTAATGAAAACGCAACTAATCCTTTGCAGGTTCCCTAGCATTGGGTTTAAATCATAAATATTGCCAAATAGGCGCTTCTGTGGGGGGCGGTGCTGCTATGGGCAAGTGATGTAACTGGTGTTGCGGCTTCAACACGACAATCACAGCAAGCCTAGTAGAGGCCAATTAGACACTGTTTTACAGCGATCGCTCAGATTGACAGGTTTTTATTTAATATGCATCATAGAATAGGAGCGCACAGTGAAACAGCACTGGAAGATCATCAACCAGGATCATATTACATGTTTTTTTTTTACACAATTAATTAGTTCTTATGTTCAGTAAAATCAATTGTTTGAAGAGTTTTTTGATCCTTGGTTAATTATGTTTTGAAATAAACAACTATTGATTATGTCACGATTACCAGCGAGAGTGCCCATCATTACCACCAGAGGGCACTCCACCCCGGACTATTGAAACTACATTTCCCTAGCCTGGGAAAACCCAGACAACTTCCGGCAAATTTAGATTTGCTCTGAAAGTTAGTCTGGCAAAGAGCTCATTCAAGCTCATTTCCAATCCGTCGAAATCGAGGCACCAATCAGAAACGTTGGGGTGGGCTTTACACGATGACGACAGCGCTGGGGTTTTGAAGCAGATTTTGTAGCCTACATTACAAAGATGGATGCCGCCGTTGAACATCACTCGTTCCAATCAGCTATCGCGTCTGTTTTAAGCCATTTGAACGTTTCCTTTTAGTTAAAAACCGAGCAAAGAACAACACTCGGAGATGTTTCTCCGCCGCTCTGCATACGTCATCTCCTGCATCGCTCTGATTGGGTTTAGGTCTATCCGCGACGTCCGTTGGTGACGCCCCTCTGGAAATGATTTGTCTATGACGCTTTGCCAGACCATAACTCAGTTACAACTGAGAATGGTCTGGTTTTAACCAGGCTAGCAGATGACAACATTATGTGATCAAATCCAAACAACTTAACAACCAAACAACACTCCACAGCGCCACCCAGTGCATTTAATTAGAACTGTGAGTTAGTGCTTGGGATTTATCATGGATTCACTGTATTTACGGCCAGCAAAGCAACGTAGTAAAATTCGAACAGTATTTTATTTTTCGAATAATAATTACAGATCGTATATTCGTGCACACCCCTAATTCCCTGTGAAGTCTTGTATGATGTCTCACTGCGTTTCTGAGCGTGTTTGTATCCTGTTTCTCCCGTGTCCTAGTTCTCTTGATTCTCTGCCTGTTCCCTCGGATTTCTCTCTTTGCCTCAGCCCTGATCTGTTATTGTTTGGATTGTTTGTTTGTGTATGACCCCTTGCCTGTTATCTGGATTACGTCTTTGGATTACCCTGTTCAATAAATACTGCATTTGGATCCTCAACCTTCGTGTCTTGGAGCCGACAATTAAGCGATTGTTGATTAATTGTTACCATGAATTCACAACCTTCTGTCTCATTCACACACATAAGACCAAAGACACACATCTTACCAAATCAGCATCATGATGATCACTGCAGCTCCACAAATAACTCCAATGGATGTGCATAATATCATCAGACTTCCTAAAATTAGCACAAATGTATAAAACATCAGAAAATGTTTTTTTTTTTTTTTTCTTCACTTTAGAAAGAGTAATGTAAGGATATGAGCCGCTCTACCTTTAACTGTGACAGTTACAGCGTCTGATCTCTGAGATCCATGTTGATTGTGAGCCTGACAGTAGAAGCGTCCACTCTGTAGTGCACTGAAACTCTGTCCAGATCCAACAGCTGAGGTTTCATTCTCCTTAAACCAGCTGAAGTTCAGAGCAGGAGGGTTTGAGTCACTGATGCAGTTCAGAGTCACTGAATCTCCCTCCACTATTACACCAGATCCACGCATCAACACTGAGACGTTTCTGGGTGGGTCTAAAAAGGACAAAAATTAAAACCTTGAATAAACTCATTCAAACCCAATCTTAAAAAAAAAAAAAAAAGACTCACACATGACATTGAGCTGAACATCAGGAGAGACGTGAGTGTGTCCGTCTACAGCACAGCTATATCTGCCTGAATCCTCTCTTCTGACTGACTGCAGCAGGAGTTCATTGTTTCTGTCTCTTCTCTCAGTTAATGGCTGTGAGTTTCTGTACCAGATGAATGTTGCTCTGTCAGTCAGAGCGCAGCTGCTTTTACATGTCAGACTGACTGAATCTCCCTCTGTCACTCTCTCAGGAGACTCCACCTGAAGATCTGAACACAACACACACATTATATCTAGTGCTGCTGTCATACACTGATTATTATTCAACATAATGCACAGAAGAAGAGATAAACCTCACCAAAGTCACCTGTGACAGTAAGATTCACTCCTGGAACACCAGTCCATTTCACACCAGGTTTATCAGTGATGAATCTGAAATAGTACATGTGTGAGTCCTTCAGTGTCACATGACTCAGTCTGACGGTGCAGTTCTGCTGTTTATCTCCCAGATACTGAAGCCTCTGACTGTATTCAGTGTCATCAGACAGATCTGGAGGCTCAGCACCCTTTACAGGATTTTTGGTCCAGAACGCTTTCATGATCTGACGTCCAGTAGGGTATGTATAAGTGCATCTCATTATCACTGTTGAGTCATTTAGTGCACAGATGTGTGAAGGACTGTAACTCACACCCTCTGTCTGACTATAAACCCCTAAAAAAAGTTAATCCTGAACAAATTAGCAGCAGCTTGTGCATAAAAACATATGTAAAGATTCCTGAGCAAGGGTTGCAGAGACTCACCGTGAATCATGAGCAGAAAGATCAGAGGAAGAGGAGGAGCCATTCTGACTGACATCACCATAGCAACAGCTACAACACATATACAGTGGCTTATTTTCAGCTTTAATGTCACCATGAAGCATAACAACAAATACTACTTTATTTATACAAGAACATGACATCAACAGTGCCATGCAAAGGCAAAAGACCGTAACTTAGTTTTTGGTCGAAAATTAGTTATTGTTATTTTTGGCACATTCAAGACCTCCTTTATCATGTGGATAAGTATCTTGAGTCAATTCTGTTGTTTTTTCGAGAAAAAAATGGTTTGTCTTAACCGTAACTTCCAAAAGCCCATGAGAAACCAAGGCAGAACACCGTAACACCAGTTTCGGCTCTTTGGCTTAGTTTTGGAACGCTCATATTGAGTTACGGCACTCTGCCTTTGTAGGCATTTAGTAGGCTATGCTCTCAACCCGCTCCATCGACAAACGTGCGATATCGATCGCGAAGGATATATCCAGAGTTGACAGAAAAATGTTACACATGCCGAAGCAGGTCAATACAACAAAGAACTAAAGCCCCGCCTCACACAGTTCGGGTACCGGACCTAGTTGAGGAAGGGTGGTGATGGCGCAGTGGATAAGACACATGCCTTTGGTGTGAGAGACCCGGGTTCGAATCCACTGCGAGACACCAATGTGTCCCTGAGCAAGACACTTAACCCCTAGTTGCTCCAGAGGCGTGCGAAATATAGCAATTGTAAGTCGCTTTGGATAAAAGCGTCAGCTAAATGAATAAATGTAAATGTAGTTGAAACAATCATGCATCCGCCCTGAACACGGTCGAGCCGACGCGGGACTAATATATCACAGAGTGATAATAATGAAGCAAGGGTATATTGGCGCTGGCGCATACAACATAATGAAGCAAGAAGTGCTGGTGCAGTGGTTCCCAAACCTGTCCTGGCGACCCACCAACACTGCACGTTTTCTTTATCTCCCTAATCAAACACACCTGATTCAACTCATTAGCCCATTAACCCATGTGATAATGAGCTGATGAGTTGAATCCAGTTTGTTTGATTAGGGAGACAGAAAACGTGCAGTGTTGGTGGGTCGCCAGGACAGGTTTGGGAAACACTGTGCTGGTGCATACAACATCAGAACAGCTGTTAAAAGCATGCATACAAAACACAGCGTCCGGAATAAATCCGCGGGACGAGCGAAGTGCACGCACAATAATAGGGCTGTGAAAGTAGGCTATGCGTCTTTCAGATCCACCGCTATAAACCAGTCTCCGGGTCGAATGTGCGCGAGGATCTGTTTTATCGTGATCATTACATTACATTATAACGCGTGTTTAGCAAGTCTTATGCCACTCGGTACCACTTGATGTTAGCCTACTCTTTAGTCTTGACCGCTATGGAGGTATTTTGTCATGTCTAATGTATTAATAGGGCCACCAGAATGCAACCAAAGTACAATAACTAGAGGCTAGGTAATTGTAAATCATAAAAAATAAATGCCATGATCACTAGATTGGGGATCAGCAACCAAATATTGATAATGTGGAAGTTACTGCCTTTTGCCTTGGCATGACTTCTCACTTTTTGCTGACAATACAAAGAGTACAGTAACTTTAAAATAGTGGTCAAAAGACAAGTTTGAGCTCAAAATTTTGTTATAATTTTCATTACTTAAACATCTAATTGCCAGATTTTCAGTGTCCTAACTATAATTAATTTGGCGGGACAACTAAAAATCTTTAAAGTCATTTTTCTCAGTTCCACACTCTAGCGAGTTAAGGTCTTTTGCCTTTGTAGGGCAGAACAGTCATATTTATACAAGAACATGACAGCAACAGTCATTTTTGCACTGCATGAGTTTGTAACTATTCAATGTCTTTCACTTCCCCCTTTTGATTGACAGCCCATCATAGAGAGTGACCCTGCCAGAACGATGGCCTTTAATTTCATACTGAGAAACTGTTATAAAGCACTTTAGTTGACTTTTGTATCAGTGCAATGCTAATGTTTTCAATACTTAAAACATACTCTGGAGCTTGTTGTCACTCTGGTGAATACGCAGGTTTATTTTTAAAAGCCACTTTAATATAAGTCTTGGGTATAAGTCTATATAATCTATCTTCATTATATAGTTATCTGTTGTGTAAAATATTGAAAAGGATTTTTTATCAATTTGTTTTTCGCCAACAAAGCACTGCTAGAGAAAACAAATTTGTGCTATTGGACTTTTGATTTTAAACCATATAGCCCTGTGACAACTAGCCCCAACCAACCTCCCATAAATCCCTTCACACTTAAGATATTAAACAGAACAGTTATAAAATCATGCTCTTACCCGTTTCACCAACACCCGTGACCAGTGACAGCACTACAAATGATCAGGCTGAAACCAGTGTTGGCTTTTTCACACCCTGAGTGTCACGTGATTAACACATTATATTATAATATGAGCTCATGACACCTCTAGTGCAGATCGAGCAGAGGAAGAGTTTTAACAGACAACATTAACGCCTGTTTCACACACAGGCCTACTCCATTTGCAGTGCGTATGTGGTGCATATTTTTTGTCTGTACCCATGGGATACACTGCAATGCGTTCCAGGAGCGGTGTGTATACAACAGTGCAGTGATCGTTTCTGCACCAAATCTGTTTTTGCTGAATTAAAGTGACAGCGCATGGTTCGTGGTCAAAATGAACATGGATTGACATGGAAATGTAGTAATCTCACTATAAATGCATTTAATTAAATTATACTACTATTTTTCACAGTCATCTTTTTACTTTAAGCCCAGTGTAAAGCAAGTCTCTTCATGGAGGTGGAAAAACAAGTTCTTTATAATGCGCAGGATTTCTTGTATAAAGGCATTAGGCATAAACGCTAAACTGAGAGAAACTTTACTTCAGTCAATAAAGATGCGATGCCAATGTAATAATGATAACGATGCAGCGGGACACATGCTAAAGTTATAGCGGCATAATAAGTGTCTATATTTTGCCTAATTGACAAGATGTTGTGCATGAATGCAAAATTAAGTTTACAATTCTTAATTATATAGTCGATGAGAAATTAATTTGCTCTTGTAACTGAGTTATTATGCCTCATAGCCCAGACATAGTATAAGTGGCACCATACAAGCTTTGGAGCGCTTACAAGGTGTCAGGTTACAGCTGTGCACTGCCTATAATGTAGGTTACAGCCTAATCTTATTTTATCGTGCTGTATTATTGACCATATGTTTAATTGCTGCAATTTAACATTATTATTATGAATATTTACATTTTTATAGAAAACCACAACCACACAAACCAGTCCCAGAAAACAATTGCTTCTTCGTTTTGTCTCTAATCGGACAGCCTTTGGTGGGTCAGCACCCTGACCAGGAAACTTGTATTTTTTTCAGCTTCAAAATTAGCTTTGATTAAAACTATTCCAAGAATACCTTTTTGTAACATCATCATTCAATGCAAATGAAGCTGCATTCTTCAGAGCACGAGAATTAGCCAAACGGAGAAAGAAAGAGGAAGTAAAAAAGAGCATTTCTTTAAGATGTGTGTGATTTTCACATGCAGTGAAACTTTTTATTTCTTCACAGACAGGATTGTTCACACACTGAGTTCCTGCTGAGTGAACAAATGCAACCGTGATCCTTTTATCTTGAAATTAATTTAATGAGTTTGATGGGACTCTACAAGATCATCTTTACTAAAACCCTTAGTCTCACTTCCTCTTTTGTGTGTTGATAAGAGGCCTGTGAACTGCATCAAACCTTTATGCAAATCCTGACCTGACAGAAGCTGTATCCTGTACAACACAGACATTCACTTTTTCTTGTTCTATAATGCTTTAAGAGAACCACAAAATTACCACTTTATAATTCATGAAAACCAAGGAGGAGATTGGTTGCACCTGGGAAAGGGATATGTCATTCCACGGCACATATGGCAATAAACTAGACTGAAGGCCTGCTGCACTGAAAATAATATTACTATTGAACAGTGCAATGTCAAAGTAATAATAACAATAATACAATTTATTAAAACATATTTTTTTAGGCTGCATACATGTTAAATTAATACTAGCAATAATACTCGCCTCTAAAATTTGGAGTGATGGAGGGATTGAAGGCTCGCAATATGTGTTTGTAGAGTTCTAGCTGCAAACTTACAACCGGTGTAACCAATGTTAGCTGCATCGCTTCAGGCTACACACTGACAGCCACATTTAGAGGGTCTGCGAAGAGGTCTATGCTTTCTAGTATGCATTTACAAGGTGGCATTAATCACTCTTGAGGTTTTTTTAAAGAGCTGCATGAAACAACAATGTATTCAGCTTGTTTACATCAGGAACACACTTACTCATGTGTAACTTGTGCATTCAGTACTCCTTGAGTCCCCCGAGTGGGCTGGATAGAACAACACAACACTAAGGTAATTTACAATACCCTGACATATGCGAGGCTGCATGATGTGAAAGACCTGGAAGTGAATTCTGAACTAGACTTGCTACAAATTTCTTTTCTGTACTTAGCAAAACACATCTTGCATTTGGGAGCATCTTTTCACATCTCCTGGCAAGCAGAGAAGTGTGTCAAATTTGCTGGATTGGACGAAAATCCGTTGTGGAAAAGGTTAAAGGGGTCATTTAATGGTACATGCACTTTTACAAGCTGATTGTACTGAAATTTGTGTTGGCAGATCCTGTACACAACCATAATATAATGATAAAAATCCATCCAGTGGTTTTGTTTTAATCTCCTTATATGTTTTCCCTGCCTCAAATCAAGCCGTTCGAGCGTGTGACGTCAATAAAACGGACGCCCCTCCCACGATTGTTGATTGACAGCAACGTTTCAAAACATCCCCGCCCTGAGCGAGCTGTCATCATAGTCCGTCATTGTTGATACGCTGGAGCAGAATGGCGTCTAAGCGATTGTGGTGTTCTGTTCTTGGGTGTAATAACAAACACAGCAGTCATTTTAATGTTCCTAAATCCGAACCGCTGAAGACACAGTGGCTGAGTTTTGTTTTCGAAGGAAATATTCCCCACAATCAACGTCAATGCGTTCATGTTTGCGCAAATCATTTTTCACCAGACTGCTTTATAAACGAGGGTCAGTATAAAGCTGGTTTTGCTAAGAAGCT